GCGGCTTCTTCTTGGTCAGCCCCCACAGGGCTACGGAGCTGCTGGGGCGGGGAGGGGTGAGGGGGCCTGCGCGCACTGCCTGCCCACCCCACGCACCGCCCCGGCCCCGTGCTCACCCATCATCGGCACCCGACACCATGTGCTCCTCGTTGATGAGCTGGATACAGTCGATGGAGCCCCTGCGAAGAGAACAGGCGACGACCGTCAGTTACGAGCTTGCTCCGGGATCCCATTCAGGAGACAAGGGCTCACCGGGGCATCGGCACCCCCAGGGTGCTGGCAGGCTCCCGGTGACGCCTGGCACCCTTGCAGAGCTGGCCCAGCGGACCCGCCTGCCTGCAGTCCTACCTCCCCTCCCTGCCCACAAAACACCAGCTGTGACTCCTCGGGGATCTTCCAGAGCCGCACGGTGCCATCCCGTCCCCCCGCCGTCACACAGCACTCCCGGCTCAGGCTGTCCAGCCCCGTGATGACGTCCTGGTGCCCGTACCTGGAGGAGGAGACGGCAAAGAGCTGCGACGGGCAGGCCCCTGCGCCCCATCGCCTGCCCCTGCCGAGGGAGGGTCAGTGGGGTCCCTCCCCCCTTGGCTCTTACAGGGTCTCCACGTATGCGTTCTCCGCCACGTTCCAGACCTTGACGCAGCGGTCGTGAGACGCACTGTACAGCTGGTGCGTGCCCTTCCGGAAGGACAGGGCCTGCGGGCGGACAGACGGACAGACACAGGGGCAACGGTGAGGGGCAGGGGGGAGGACGGTGTCGCCTGGCCCCGCAGGTGTCACGGTCGCTGCCCCCGACTCACCGAGACGGCGTCGCGGTGCCCGGTGAAGATGTGCAGGCGCTTGCACGTGGCTGCGTCCCAGGTCATGATCAGCTTGTTCCTGTCTCCCGTAGCCTGGCAGAACACAGGGGATACCCCAGACCCGCCCCGTGGGGACCCACCCCAGCCTCTGCTCCCACCCCGTGTGCTTTGGGGGGTCCCAGGGAGCCGCTCCGGACTCCACTGGGAGCAGGGGCTGCTCTAACCCAGCACAGCAGGGTCTCCTCCACAGACCCTGGGAGGAGGTGCGCTGCCCCCTCCCCACCTCTCTGCCCCACGCCGCAGCGCCAGCCCTCTCCCGTACCAGGTACTTGCCGTCTGACGAGATGGCCATGCAGAGGACGTGGGACGCGTGCCCCATGTGCCGCTCCTCGGTGCCCTTCTTCCCCCCGGGCACCACACACAGCCTCTTCCCGCTCTCCACCTCCCCTGCGGGAAAAGCATGGCCATCACCCCCTGGGAGCCTC